TCCTTATTCAGAATTTCTGGTTCGTAGACTCCATTCGGGAAGTCGAAATTTCCTCGATTTGGGATTCAAGAAAAATCGGTGACTTAGGACACCAAAAGTCAAACCTATCCCAAGTGGCGATTCTGAATAAATAAACAATCCCATTCGAATAATGTCACTTTAAATGGAAAAACTCCCTTATACATTATCCTTTGGGGTAGGTGTGTAAAAGGAGGTGTGACAGCTCTGGCGACTCTGCTAGGGAGACGAACCCAGAATTTCGATTCAGGGTTCAAGAATTCGAGCTTAGTATAATTGTTATATTTGGCTTTATCTGATTTTTCTACATGTTCCATGCTATATGTGCTAAATGTTTTACCGCTTTGATATTTGTTGAAATTGTATATATAAACTGTCGCGAATCCCTTCCTCTTTCTGAGTCTTCTACATCATGGAGAAGGGTGCACTTCGTGTAGCTTTTCTTCTGTTTAGAGTCTTTCCCAATTTATAACGAGGTTTGGATAAGTTTCTAAGCCGGCGGAGCTTCTGTATCCCCGGTACGCTGCCTCCCCCTCGGCTCGAGTTGTCCGCTTGGGTAAGCCAGGTCTAGACCAATAAACCTAGGGTTTAAACCTTGAAGAATAAAAACTCATGTCGGATCCCTAGTAGGACGTTTGTTTGCACCATGTGCATTTGGCTTAGGGGACTCAACACAGGGGTTGGGTCCGTCTAGGACAGGTGACCTGAAATAAATTGACCATCCTGATGCGTCTTACATGCTACTTGCGCATTTATTTGCTCGGCTTTGCATGTTGACCGATTTGTCTAAATGAGTGAAAATGGAGAAAAATAAGCAGTGTTAGGACTAAGTAAGGGTGACCGTTTGTTTTGAAAAAACTAATGCCCAAATAGTACCGAAATGTTGCCGGATTTTTGAAAAAAAAAAGAGAAAAATATTTGGAAAAATAGAAAGAAAATTGTTGTTCAAAATAGTTTTAACTATGGCAAATCTGCCTGAACTATGCTGGTTTGATTCTCACTGGATGTGAGATACGTAGGCAACCCTCATCGGGTCCAACCACCCTTTTGCAAAAATAGCCAAAATACCAATTTTAATTTTTGTCACAAATAAGTCAGGTGATGCCATTCTTGCTTAAAATAAGCCGAATGTCCCCAAAAGGGCGTCGGAAGGCCGTTTTTGCAAGAACAGCCACCTTGGGTCATTTTCAATGGTTAGCGGGCACAGCCTTAAAATCTTCCTCCCAGAAGTGCTGAAAGGCCGTATCTGCAAAACCGAGTCTTTGTTTGCTTAAATAAAATTTTTGAAAAATAGCCACTATACTCCTTAGATGTCTTTCTTTGATAAATAAATAAATAAAATAAATAATTTCGAAAATTGAGTCCGAAAAATATTTTTGCTCCAAAATTCAAACAAAAGTATTTCTTTCTTTCAAAATATCAAAAGAAAAATCAAAATCAAAAATCAAAAATAAGTGTTTCCCTTTTTTCTTTTAAAGCATTTCTTTCAAAATTCCAAAAAAGAGTTAGTTTATTTACCCTATTTGTAAGAACTACGCTTGTTCTGATTCATGCAGGGTCATGATACGTAGGCAATCTCCATAAGATTCGACCGTAACCCTAAGAAAAAAAAAGAAGAAGAAAATACGAAGGGAAGAAATAAAGGAAAAACTAGAGAGAAAAAAGAAACTCAAAAGAAGAAAATAAGGCATTGAGAGAGAAACCATGGCCAAGGAAAAGAAAAGAGCGGAAAATAAATAAAGAGAGAAGAAGGAAAAGAAAATGAGAGAAAATAAAACAAAAAAAAAAGCAAAGGGAACAAAAGAAAATCCGGGATGACGCATGCAACCGAAGCAAACATGTAGATATTCATTTAACTGTATAGGTGCATCACGCTCCAATGTGCGGTTACCTATCTGTTACTTGTCTCAAACTAACCGTATGTTGCTGTCAATTCCAGCCTAGCTTTTAGAAACGGTGGTTGGTTGTGGTAGGCTGGTATCGCATCAATACTTTACCAGATCGAAAGGAAGTGTGGAAATGTCTACGGAAATGACTTTGCCCGCAGTTCCCATCTCTAAGGACAGCCCCATCTCGGGGACCCCGGCATCTGAGTCTGTCACAGCGGAAGAGAACCGGATACTACGTCTCCGACTCATGGAGATGTGGGACGCCTGGACCAATGGAAAGGAGCCTCCAAGCGCCATCCCTGGATTTCCTAAACTATTCCCTAGATCTGGGGGTACCTTCAATATCCCCATCAGCCACCCTCATATTCCGTTGGGACAACCTACCATGACCGCTCACTTCGTCGGAACACCTTCTGAGGTCCGCCCCCAGGTGTTCCCAGCAGGAGCAGCTCCTAGCATCTTCACTGCTCCACCATGCTCTGCTACAACACAGCCTTCACTGCCAAGGCCCGCCTTTGATCCCTCAGCTTTCACTTTCCAAAATCCCATCTTTCAAGCAGATCCTCCTCAATATCCCACATACACTTACTCTCAGCCACCACCATTTGAGCTTACGCCAGGACAAGATCAAACTCCCAAAGCTCCTGAACAAGATGAGATGGCGAAAAGAATGAGAAGCCTTGAACAGAGTTTGAAGAATATGCAAGGTTTGAGTGGGCAAAAGAGTATTTCTTATACAGATCTGTGCATGTTCCCTCACGTGCACCTGCCCATGGGATTTAAAACGCCAAAGTTTGAAAAGTATGATGGGCATGGCGATCCCATCGCTCACTTGAAAAAGTATTGCAATCAATTACGCGGTGCTGGCGGAAAAGAGGAGTTGTTAATGGCTTACTTTGGAGAAAGCTTGGTAGGCATCACCTCGGAATGGTATATGGACCAAGATGTTTCACGATGGCACATTTGGGATGACCTTGCCAGAGATTTTGTGAGACAGTTTCAATACAACATCGACATTGCGCCGGACAGGAACTCTTTGGCGAATTTGAAGAAGAAGCCCTCAGAAAGTTTCAGGGAATATGCTATTAAGTGGCATGAGCAAGCGTCGAGGGTGAAACCTCCAATGGATGAAGTGGAAATGGTCACCGTATTTCTTCAGGCCCAGGAAGCGGATTATTTCCAGAATATGATGTCAGCCATGGGCAAACCTTTTGCAGAGGCGATTAAGATCGGGGAAATGGTAGAAAATGGTTTGAAAACGGGCATGATTTTGAGTCAGTCGGCCATCAGAGCAACCTCCCAAGCCATCCAAGGAGGGTATGGAGGAATGGCCAAAGGTAATAAGAAAGAAGAAACGGTTATGGCAGCCTCAGGGGCAAGGAGACATCGCGCTCCCAGACCCATGTTTTCGGACAGAACCCCTCAACATTACTACCCTCATCACGATATGGCTTATGCCCCTCCACCTTATGCGGTCATGAATGCTCAACCCTTCGGCCGGCCGCAGCCACATGCCAACAGAAATCAACCTCCATTCCCAAGAAATCAGCCTCCCTACCAGAACCACTATAATCCTCGACCTCCGCAGAATAACTTCCGTCCTCGGGAACCACCCGAGAGACCAAACTTTACCCCAATTGGTGAATCTTACTCTAGTCTATTCCCGAAACTTGTCCAAATGGGTCTACTACAGCCGATCCCTCAGAACAGACAAAACCCGGCATCGCCTGCCTACAAAGCTGGTGTCAGGTGTGCATACCATTCAGGGGCAAAGGGCCATCATACAAATGACTGTTGGACTCTGAAACAAGCGGTGGTGAACTTATTAGAGCAAGGGAAAATTGTGTTGAAGGATGANTTTTCTTTCCAAATCCCGGCCAAAAAACCGAGGATCTCCCGGCCAAAAAATCGAGGAGCTTTTTCTTTCCTAATCCCAGCCAAAAAATCGGGGAGCTTTTTCTTTCCAAATCCCGGCCAAAAACCGAGGATCTCCCTACACAATCCTGATTTGATCGCTTAGATATGTGTCACAACTAACTCACGAAATTTTCCTAGTGAAAACTGGGGCAAAAAAATTTCGTTCGTTTGTTTGTTTTGGTGTCTTAAGCAGGTCTAACACCGAGGCACAGGGGTGCGAGACGACCGATGGAATGAGTCTCAATCCACAATAAAGAAAAGAAGAAAAGAACAAAAAGAAATGAATTCAAAATGTTGAAGCAAACAAAGGTGCGGATTGCTCAAAATTTGATTAAAGTCATAAGCTCCGCCGATCCCGCTTTGACCCAATGTTGCAGAAAGAAACAACACCTACAACTTGCGAGCATCAAGATTCAGATCGAAGTCCACAGCAAAATCAGCTAAGACTCAAGATCAAGCTTCAAGAGATTTATAGATAGGAATCTTGTAACTCATAGTTGATAGGCATAGCTAGCTTAGCTTTGATTTTCCTTTTGGTGTAATAAGGGGGTCAGCAAGCAGTAGCAGCAGCAACAGCAGTGAAATCACAGCTCCCGGTAGTCCCAGCTACCAAAACTTCCAGAACTAAACTGACCTGATTCCTTTATAGCCAAGGATATGTAGGCAACCTCTGAAGCAGGGTTCGGTCAGGCTCCTTTAAAAAACGCTTCTCATAGAGTTTCAAACGGGCAAAAATCCCTCATATTGCTCACTTTATCTTTGCCCGGAAACTCTTCATGTTTCCGAGCAAAGAGGGACAGCTGTAAGCATGTGATTTTGCCCTATCGAAATACTCCTATAAAATCTCAAGAGAAATAGATTTTTGTTAATTGTTTGCCATTTGAGAAATTTTTATAGAATTTTATTTAATTGTTTGTATTTTGTGCATATTTGAGTTTTATTTAAATCATGAAAAATACAAAAAATATCATGCATGACATTTAGGCCTCATTTTTACATTTTTAGGATTAATTGGTAGTTACTCGTTTTATAAAAATTGAAATCACAAAAAAATGCTTCATTTTAATAGTTTTTCCTTTTATTGATTTTTTCTCTTTTAATTTAGGATTAAGTGGTTTTTATAATTTTTATAATTAGCTAATTAGTTTAATTTCACATTTTGGATAATTTCGGATTTTTAGTTTGTAGGATTTTAATTAAAAGAAAAAGGAAAAATTAACAAAATAAAAGAAAGAATTGGAAAAGAAAGGTTTGTCTTGTGAAATTGGGCTAAAATTAATGCTGAGCCCAAAGCCTATACCTAAATCTGCCCAAACCCAATAACCCACTCAAAACCCAATCTCCCTACCCAAATACCCATTACCCTTTACCCTACCTCCTACATGTAAAAACACAATTTAGAAACCAAAAAAAGGACCTCACCCTTGAGATCAGGGAATCAGCGCAGCTTTTTTGGAAAAGAGACGTTCCCGTTTGTCTTCTTCTTCACAAATCAACAACCAGAGAGACTCCCCCCTCACGTCTTCGTCTCCACCCCAAAACCAGTCAAAGCAGCCATTAAACTTAACCCCAAACAGTCACCAAAAATCGGTAAATAGCTGTTTCCTTCAGCAGAATTTAAAAGGAATTCATAAAGGTCGAGTCCAAAGTCTATTGTGTCATCGAGATTCGAGTTTGTGCCCGTCGATGTTTCGGACTTGTTGAAGTCTCATTACTGTTGAAGTTGTCGAATCTGCTGGGTTATCTGGTTCGGAGATGTGGATTTGTGCTCTAGTTGCTATTGCTGTTGATCTTCCTTACAAATGGAAGTCGGAGCTGTTTGCGGTTGTTTCTCCTGCAATTAGTAGCTGAACACCCATTTGAAGTTATTTTCGGCCTTTATTTGGCTATTTTAAAGTCTTACTACTGCTGTCCATAAATTTTCATATATAAAAAGCTGTTTTGGAGCCCTGGAATTGCCGCTCGTTGTCCGTTGATTTGCGTTGTCGTTACACTGTTTCTCGTTGTTGTTCTGTCGCTATGGAGCTACATTTGTTTTTAATTCCATACTTTATTTGATTAATTTCTGCCCGAAAAAGGAAATGACTGGAGTTGTGTACTGCATTTGGAGCTGTGTAGTCAAATGCATTTGCTGAAGAACCCGAAATCATTGCGTGAGATCTGTTGGTTCTCATCGGAATTTTGGGAGTCAAATATAGAGTAGTGGCTGATTATTTCTACTGCTATCAAGGAGATATTCACTGGAACAGGTACATTTCCCCCTCTTATTTACTTATTCATTNNNNCGGGTGCATTTCATGTGACGTGATCCGAAAACTATATTTTAAACGACGTTCAATTTCCTAAAATTTAATTAAAAGCGGTAAACAATTTTAAAATTGCACTATAGGATGACATGTATTAAAATTAGATTTTTTGCCAATTATAATAGTTTAAGCGACCGTGCTAGAACCACGGGATCCGGGGGTGCCTAACACCTTCCCTCGGGTCAACAGAATTCCTTATTCATAATTTCTGGTTCGTAGACTCCATTCGGGAAGTCGAAATTTCCTCGATTTGGGATTCAAGAAAAATCGGTGACTTGGGACACCAAAAGCCAAACCTATCCCAAGTGGCGACTCTGAATAAATAAACAATCCCATTTCGAATAATGTCACTTTAAATGGAAAAATTCCCTTATACATTATCCTTTGAGGTAGGTGTGTAAAAGGAGGTGTGACACCTAGTAGCATTTTAGAGTGCCACGAGCCTCGTCTTATTGCTAACACAGGTCACTACATCCCCTGAATACATTACTTTTTGCCAACATAGGGTACGACATTCCCTAGTAGCATCTCAGAGTGCCACGAGCCTCATCTTATTGCCAACACAGGGTACTACATTCCCTGGTTGCATTACTTTTTGCCAACATAGGGTACAACATTCCCTAGTAGCATCTCAGAGTGCCACGAGCCTCATCTTATTGCCAACACGGGGTAATACATCCTCTGGTTGCCTTCCATCTTGTTAACATAGGGTACGACATCCCCTATTTTAAAAAAAAGAAGAACATTTCTCTTTCAATTCTTCATTCTGCAATAGCAAAGATAGTTTATTGTGTTTTCAATAACTCACAAAAATTTCCTAGTGCAAACTGGGGCAAAAGATTTTTGTTCGTTTTGTTTGTTTCTAATGACTTGCAGGTTTTTCTGCAAAGTACGGATTGGATGTGCGAAAATAAGAATCTAGCTCTCACTAGAGAAAGTGGAACATTTGATCTCAATACCAGCCGAACCAACTTTGACATAATGTATGCAGAGACATAGGGTCTCAAGATCCATCTTCTTATCATCGGATCAAGGAAGCCTGTGAGAATATTTCATAGTCTGTTTTATCGAGAGTATCAGATTTCAGTCTAAAGTCAATGGGGGAAGCAAGTCAAGAATCAAGACAAGATTCCAGATGGCATTTAGATAGGAATTTTGTAACTCTTAGATTTCAAGAGTATGTAATTTTCTTTTCATTTTGATGTAATAGTAGGAACCGCGGATCGGAACCTCGACAGAACCTCAATGGACCTCCATCTAAGAATACTCCATCACTCTTCTTCCACTTGAACTACACGTGACCTGATTCCATTATAACCCGGATATGTAGGTTGCCTAAAACCAAGGCTCGGTCACATCGTTTTCTTTTATCTTCTTTTCCTTATTAAATAATAGTGAGGTCAAAAATCAGTCACCTTGTTCATTTTTTTTGCCTGAAAACTCTTCATGTTTCCAGGCAAAGAGGGTCATGCTGTGAACAACTAATTTTTGATCCCACCCAAATTCTAAACTATTTTAGTTTAAATATTCTTTTAGATTTAATATTAATATTTAAACTTTTATCTTACTCTTAATAGGTTTTATTTTAAAAAAAGAAAAAAACTACAAAAATGCTCTTATTCTTAGAGTACAAATTTTATTTCTAAAGAAAATATATATATATATATATATATATATATATATATATATATATATATATAGAATCTTTCTTAGTATCATTTAAAGTACATATAAATATTTAGTTTACCTATATTATAAGAAATGTTGGTTAATCTTCTTATCTTTATAATTTAATTTATCTTAAAGAAAAAAAAAATTGAACTTTAATGTTAAAGAGATAAAGTTTTTCAAAATCTGATTTTTACTTTGCTAGTCCCATAATTCCCATTTTCTAGCCTAACGTTCCACCTTTCACGTCCCTTTCCCTCACGTCTCCTCACAGCACACACCTCACTTCCCACATCCCCACTCTTCGTCTCTAACAACTCACACACCATGCTATATAATATAATTGGCTTTTAACATTAGAGGGGGAAGGAAAAGGAAAAGGACACTAATGAGTAAGTAAAACGAAAAGAGAGAATTGAGAGCCGGACAATAAAAGAGTGAGCAGCATTTGCCACCCAAGCTGGAGGTATTTGTTGTTCAGATCTGGACATGAAAAAGGACGAGGTCGAGGTATTTACGTCAAGGTTTCTAGGCGGGGTTCCCGTCCCGGTTTTAAGCGAGCTTCGTTGTATGGTTTTTGTCTTGGAGATCCTGTGTATTGACTTCATAAATTAAAGAAAAATTTAATGTCAAAGGTCCTTTCTCTTGCCTCTTTATTTTATTAGTTTTGTGTAAGTAGTTAGAGATTTAAAAGTGATACCAACTTCTTGTTCTGTTATTTTACGTATTTGTTTTGGTAGATGATACGTCACTGTTTTTGAGCTAAAAGTAATTTTTGGATCTACCATTTGAACAAAAGTATTGTGGAAGTTGAATTCATCCATGAAGTCTTTGCTTTGGTATTAGAGTAGTATTCATGTTAAATGGGTTATTTGCTTTAAAGTGGAATTCAACAGTTTACTTTGTTAGGGGTTCATGTCACGATGGGTTGTGAAAATATTATGTAGTTTCTATTGGGATTTAAGTTGTTTTCCTGGGGGGGCATTAATATTGATAAAGAATTTAAAAGAATTTTAGGACCTTTTGTACATATGGAACAGAATAATAAAATTGCTAGTTAGTACTTCTTTTGTTTCGTAATAAACCCACAAGAATAGCTAGGACAACTTCACTTCTTCCACAATTTCATATCCATATATCATGGCTCACAATAATCTTAAACTTGTTAGGAAAACAACTCTAAATACACTAGAAAAAGTTTAGACGCAATTTATATTAGCTCAAGTGTTCGTACCCGAACCTTGGATTGATATGCTTAAGTAATAAAGGGGTCATGTGCGCATTCCCTGTCTCGATCCCTTTAAATTTAAAATAATTATGTTTTAACCATGTGTATATTCTGTACCTTGGTTTAACATCTAACCTCAAAGAAATACCTTGTGTGCATATCGTTGGGTCCAAATAATTAATAAAAATATAATAATTAATTAAGTGGTACTAGGCAAATCATAATTAATAAAATACAAGAATACTCAAGAATTAATTTATGCTGGACATTAGTCAATAGAAGCAACCGTGTTAAAACCACGGGACTCGAGGAGTGCCTTACACCTTCCCTTCGGTCAACAGAATTCCTTACTCAGTCTTCTGTTTTCGTAGACCATAAATTAGGAGTCAAACCTTCCATTTGGTGAGGGATTCAAATAAAAGGTGACTTGGAACAGCAAAGCTCAATTTCAAGTGGTGACTCCAAATAATAAATAATCCCTTTTCAAAATGTCACTTCAACTGAAAAAACTCTTCTAACTCAACTCTGTAATAGGGTTGTGTGGAAAAAAAGAGGTGTGACACCAACATCCACCGATCTTCTTTTTCGTAGATTTAAGACTTCCCCGCACGATGACAACTCATCCACTAAATGCAGCACAGGATAAGTCGATGTCCCACATGCTGAGGCAGCCGATGGCCGAGTTGGTCGCGCCAAAACCAGAGGTCGAACGGGGGCAGACGACCGGGCAGGTTTGGATGAGGTTGCAGTTGGGACGGATTCTGTTATAGCGACCGCCTAACGCAACGCATGAGTAGGAGCCTTTTCCTTCCTCGAACCTCCCCGTGCTGATAAAAGAAGAGAGGAAAAAGGTCGGGATCAGCCCCCGCACAGGTAAAAGGCGACCTACAAAATATTTTTTTTAAAACAACGACAATCTGACTTACCAGAAAGCTTGGGCCCGAACTTATTGCGGAAGGACGACCATTCGCGGATCCCTACTGTATGAGGAAGAACTCGGCTAACCCACTCGTGAATATTTTCAACCAAAGGAGGGGGTTCAGCCTCCGCTGCACAGAAATAGAAAATAAGATGCCGTACAACCAAAGTCGACCAGCACAAAATATAATAGAAGAAAAAGGTGCTTACGCACGTAGTTCCAATCTCAGGAAACCCATTTGCATTTTTTGCCACGTCCTCGATTTTCACGTAGAAGTAGTTGAGCCAAAACTGGCGGTTGGCCTTGTCGTCCATTTTTACCACAAGACATTTACTGCCCCGGTGGTGAAGTTGTAACATCGTCCCCCTATGGAAACTAGGAGTAAAGAGATGCATCAAGTGACGGATGGTCACCTCGACTTCGTCCAACTCTGCGAACTTTGAAATCATGCGGATGATCTGGTTTATATAGGGAGAGTTGAGCCGGGCACACCCAGTAGTAGCGGCAAAACTCTTCGCCAGGGGAAGGATAGAAAAATAATAACCCACGAAGAAGGGGTATGCATAGAAGGTGCAGTATCCAGGGTGGTGTATTTGCACCACGTCGTGCCTCGCAAAGATGAGGTCTATTTGGGCGGGAATTCCAAATCTAGCCCTAAACTCAGCAATAGTCGGCCCCTTCATCAATGACTCCGAAATTTTGGGGTCATCTTCGGGCAACTTGGAGAAGTCATACCTAGCCTTCTCGCTATGGGGGATTATCTCCTCCACTGTAGGAAAACTGTCATCTTCAGCAACCATGGCCACCCCATCATCATGGGGAGGCATGCGAACTGCCAGGGAGACTGGATCAGGTAATCCCTCTGAATTAGTTGGGTTAACCATTTTTGTTCGTTCTGATATGGAGAAGATGCAGGCGCAGAAGAAGTATAAGCGGCGGAAATTATCAGGACCGATGAAAACAGGGATGCAAGAATGAAGGTAATAGCAGGAACACTAGAAGAAGAAGGAAGGAAGATAAAAAGATATAGTATTTGAAAAGCACAAAGGATCAGGCAAAGGATCTTTAGTCCCTATTTATAAGAGCCAGGGCACCTTAATCGAGAATACAAATCGTCGACGCCCAACACAAATGTCGATACGGCAGAGGCACGGGAAACGATGCAACACATCGAGAAAATGCGTAATAATGACGCATGGTATCGTGACGTCACTCTGAATCGACGAACGATAAGTTATGGCTCATAAAGCGCCACGTTATCATCTCGCCCAGAGTGCTCGACCCGCTCGCCAATAAAATTTTCAACTACGACTAGCGAAGTCCACTCATCGAGGTCATCCGAGAGACGGCCCCGATAAACGGAGGGACTAACTGTTTGGGTCAAAATCTGTCTAAGGGCGTTCGACACAAAGTGATGTTACCAAATGTAATTTGGCCGAGGTCGACTAGTAACTAATAAGACTCATCGCCGAGTAGCCGATCATGGTCGAGGTCAAGCATCAGAAGGAGCAGTAACGGCTAGTTTAGCTAAAGGATCTTTAGGAGAATATTCCGTAGGATATTCCTTGTACTTGTGCTTTTAGGGTTAATTGGGGGTGTGTCCCTATAAATGGAAAGAGAGACAAGGAAAAAAGCATGTAATATTATCTGATAAGAACACTCTTGAAAAGCAGACTCTCTCTAGATAAATACAAACATCACTTTTCTAAAGAGATTCGTTTTTGTTGATTATTCTATACTTTTCCCATTAGATCTGAGAAATTTTCCGATATTCTCATATTTGTCTGTAATTTATCATTGTCAAAAGGAAGAATCATCCACCTCATGCAATATTGGGTTAATCATTCTCCTTATTTACTTTAGTGTCATTTATTGTTATTTAATGCTTGATATTCTTCCCCCATTATTGACATTGAAACATTAAATGCACGTTGTATTTATTCTCTCCCAACTGTTAAGCATCATCCACATAGGCCAATTATAGATCTGAAGTTATTATTGTTAACTAGGTTCAACCCCTCATTACATAAAATTAATTAGTTTAACCAAAGGTTTACATTTTTTGGTCAAACAGTTTCTTGCCTTTTGTTCATTACTGTTGCGCTTTTTTTTTTTTGCTAAGCCGAGGGTCTAATGGAAACGGCCTCTCTATTCCCACAAGGCAGGGGTAAAGTCTATCCCACTATGTGTGATTACAGTGGATATGTTGTTCTTGGAGAAGTCTAGTATATATGTGGGATCAGTTCATTTTTAAGGTGTCAACAAATGAGACATGTACATGAAATTGATTTTCAAATATGCTCTCCAGCGGCTTGGAAATAAAAGCAAGGGAGCTCCTAGAACCTCATGTTCGAGAATTCGAGTGCGCACGACCAGAGTCCATCACCAATAATAATGAATTAGTTTCTGGGGTTCCTTTTGGTGTGAGGAAAATATTAGTTGTAGAATGTTCTCTCAACCGAGAAGATACAACTTTAGTGAACTGCGATATCTTGAATATGCATGTGTATAAATTCACAAAAATTGTGCTCATCGCTTAATTCGATATCAGGTGTCCTTTCTAGTAACAAAGTTGTAACCCACTACTAATGCCCTACATCTCTCTTTTCCATTCTAACAAAGTTGTTCATGGACTCCAACTTTGTTTGGGACGCGTAGTTGTATTTGTTCATTGTTAGCATACCTAAAACATTACCAATAACAGTCAACGGCTTTAGAATACAAAAGACCTTTGAGTCTTTAAATATAGGAAAAAGGACTCAAGTTTTTATAAATAGGTAGAAGGAATTCGTTTTGTATTAGTGTCAATAACACATATTTTAGCGTATATCAATCATTGAACAAGCTTTCTACTCATTGTAAAATGCATATTGTCATGCAATATTTGTTCGTGTCAATTGCGTTGAAAAAAATAAATTATATAAGTTTGCATTTCAAGCACTCTGCAATGATATACTTAATGGATGCAATTGAAAACCGTATTTTCCAGAATGTATTCATGTCATAAAGTCCAGTCCTTGACAAGGAAACAAACATAGAGTATATTCTTATCATCTGCAGTAAGAATAACATACACCTGATAGTCCATAACTATTCAAGAATGGGTTTATCACATCTGAATCCATCAGGAGCACAACGTCCTTTCTAGCAATTCTTGCAACTCTCCGCTCTTGTATGCCTCTGTAATAACCAAAAATGCAACTTGTTAAACTCCAATCAGTATGAATCAAAACTTGAAGCAAACCATGATGAAGGCAGCAGCATTGAGTGCTCAAAATTTTGTCTTCGTGATGAAGAGATGAAAGCTGAAGTAAATTCCAAAAAACTAAGAGTATAATACCTAGACGCTGGTTATGAATAATAAGCAAGTGGTCTAAATAGTCAAGATAGTCGAAGTGGAAAGAAGTTGACCGCGGTTGCACGCTTCGACAGCCAACAAATATTAATATTGGAGGGTGATTGAAAAGATGGAACAGGGAGGTGTTCAGTAGAATAGAGATCAACATAGCAACCTTGCTTACAAGTTCTGGATACTATTGAAGGAGGAGGGGCTCAAAAGAAGGAATTCAAGGTCAAGTCGGAAAAATCACTAGTAGTACAGAAGGTGTGATGCTGGCAAAAAATACGAGGAAGTGATGAAAAAAGGAGATAATAATACATGTGTATTTAATAGAATGGTAAATGCACATGCAAGAGACGGTTCGATTAAAATAATATATATTGATGGTGCTAGAGAAAGAAGGGGAACTCCAGGAGTGATCAATTGCATAATGGGAAAACTAACCATCAGTGTTACGACAATACTAATCAATCTTATTTACCACATGAAGAATTCCCTGATTCATTTAGACTTGCCTCACATCCAAATTCTATGATTGCTCAAGACGTCGCTCTTATAAATCAGAACTGCTACCTCGCGTATGAGATTCCTCAGAGGTTGCAGTGACTAAGGATCTAAATTTTTAAACAACTCACGTTCAGGTTGCAGCTTTTCTAAGTAATAATCTTGGAACTTGATGAACTGATCTAAGTCAGAACCTTGGAACTAAACGCACTGACCTCGACAGAAGGAAAAAGTGGTCTTCCCGGTGAAATCCTTTTACATTTAATTGGTGTAGACTGTAGAGGCAGGATGGAAGATGTTCAATATCCATGGAAATTCATCTGGAAGACAGAGTCTGTCATAAAGGTAGCCTTCTTTAGGTGGACAGTAGGATGGAAGTTGTCCTAACTCAAGATTATCTAACGAAAAGGGAGAATATGTGGAGCAACAGCAACTGCATGTACATTCCCTGAGCAAAATCAGTGGATACCTTTTTCTACACTATACAACAACAACGGCCCAGTGTAATCCCACTAGTGGGGTCTGGGGAGGGTACGCAGACCTTACCCCTACCCCGAGGGCAGAGAGGCTATTTCCAGGAGACCCTCCGCTCAAGAAGAAAGAGACGATATATTAGTACCATCAATAGAGTCACCATCATCATCATAATAATAATAATAATAATAATAATAATAATAATAATAACAATAAAATTAGCAAATGATTCAAAATCACCGGAAAGCTCCACGGGCGCATGATTAGCCAAGGGAGGCTAACGTGCACCAACGATGGCAAGGAGACGCAAACCAGTAACGCCGGCGACTGAGGGCACAACTCCGGTGAACTCAACAATGCAAAATTTCACTCCATTAACGTTTGGAAGCTTTCTACCACCTAAATTCCAACCAATTCTAGAAGAAAAGGAGCTAAGTGAGGACGAAGAAGGAAATAGTATGCAATGGAACAGTAAAATTGCTGTGACTGCAAAGGAAGCTCAGAAATCTAAGGAACAACTGCCAACCAGTCCAAAACGACTTCAATTCTCTGACGCGGGATCTTCACAGCCATCCCCAGATCTAGATCTAACAGATAAGACAGAGATGGCAAAGGAGTTGAGGAAGCAAAATCGGAACTCCCAGATGGGAATGAAGCTGGAGTACATTCAGCCAAGCCATAGAGATGGTAAGATTGTCATTCAAATTGAGGAAAACGATGTAAATGAGCTACAGGAACATTGGGCAACTGCTTTAATTGGATATGTACTTGGGGACACTCCATATGAGAAATCTATGGAGAGTTATGTTGAATCAGTCTGGGATTTTGTTACTAAACCTCAGATCTTGTATCATCAAGATGGATATTATGTGTTTCAATTCACAACGATGGAGGATAGAGATGCAGTTATGCAAGCTGGTCCCTATTCATACCATAATAAACTGTTTATCTTACAGAACTGGGAGAGAGATTTTCACTTTGATCCCAAATGCATTACTACTATCCCCTTGTGGATTCACTTACCTAGTTTATCAGCTGGATACTGGATTGCTGATGCACTAAGCAAGGTGGCAAGTGCAGTTGGTACCATTGTATACAGATAAGTTCACAGTTGAATTGAACAAAATCTCCTATGCTCGGGTGCTGGTGAAAGTTGATATTACAAAGCCATTAATGGAGGAGATTGAGATAGTTACCCCCACTGAAACCAGACAACAGGAGATAGTGTATGAATGGAGGCCAAAGTTCTGCAATGATTGCTTACACTTTGGTCATGACAGTTTTGAATGCTGGAACTCAACTAAACAGAAGGAGGATGCAGAGTTCAAGGTTCCAAAAAGAAGAAATAGGGGCAGGGGAAGGAAAGTCATTCAGGAATGGAAGCCTAAACCACAGCAGGGACAGGAGGAGGAACAAGGAGAGGAAAATAAAACATATCCTCCAGCTACCAAAGATAGGCAGAGTTCAGAAGATGAGCCACAAAAAAGTATGATGAATACAAAGAAAGGACAAAACTGAAAGGCAGACTATAGCAGAAAAACAGGTGAGAAATGATGAAGCTAGTACTTCCAACAGATTTACAATTTTGGAAGAATGTAGTGTACAAGGAGGGGTGAGCAACTCTGATCCTATACATAAACCACCATGATAATCTGTACTTGGAACATAAGGGGGCTGAACAAGCCCCATAAGCAGAAGGAACTGAGAATCTTTCTGCAAAAGAATAAGATTGATATCCTTGGATGTCTAGAAATTAGAGTAAAAGAAAAAAAGGCAAAAAATATTCTGTATAAGGTAACAAAGGACTGGGGTTACTGCCATAACTACACTGAAGCTGAGAATGGAAGAATATGGCTAGTTTGGAGAACAAATTTAACAGTAAACATAATCCAAGTTCATGAACAATTCATCCACTGCCTAGTGATGGACACTGTGACTGGATATAGGATTTTGCTTACTGTAGTGTATGCCAGGAACAAACAGCATGAGAGGGATAGACTATGGAATGATGTACAGCAGTTAGGGGGACAAGTACAAATGCCTTGGCTCATAAGTGGTGACTTCAACAATGTCCTAACCACTGATGATAGGTTCGGGCAACCAGTCACAATGAATGAAGTACAGGAATTTAAGGAGTGTATGGACAATATGCAAATGACCCCACTGAGAACAAAGGGTTGTTTCTTTACTTGGTGTAACAAGCAAAGTACAGATGATAGAGTGTACAGTAAGATAGATTGGGCATTTGGGAATTTTGAATGGACTAAAGTGTATGGGCATGTGGAAGTTGATTGTTTGGAGCCTGGGGTATCTGATCACTCACCTTTAGTGATCCAAATATGGGAAAGAAGGAGTTTGCACCCCAAACCATTCAAACTGTATATGGTAACTATGGAGTATAAGGATTTTAAACCTGTTGTAGAAAGGATTTGGAAGCAGAAGATGGGGAATGATCCTATGGCTGGTATATGGCTGAAGTTACAAAAACTGAAAGGAGAGACTAGAAGCTTGAACAAGGAGATGGCAAGATATACTAAGAGATTGACCCAAATCAGACAGAAGCTGGAATGTACACAGGCAAACCAGATATTGGATCCCTTTAATCAGGTTTGGATAGATCAGGAAAAGCAAACTCTCCAGGATCTAGAAAAGTGGAGTACTATAGAGGAAAGAATCTTACGACAGAAGGCTTGAGTAAATTGGATTAACCATGGGGACTCAAATTCCAAATACTTCTATGCACAGCTGAAGATCAGAGCCAACAATAATACCATTACTTCTGTATACAATGAAATGGGAGCTAAAATCACTGACCCTAAAGCTGTAGAGGAGGAATTCATATGCTTCTTCAAACAACTTATGGGGAAAGAGACTGGTCTAAAGCCATGCCCAAATACTAAAGTCATCAAAGATGGAAACTGCCTCTCATTGCAACAACAGCATGATCTAATTCAGGAAATCACATATCCAGAAATTGACGAAGCAATGAAAGACATGCCAAATGATAAAGCCCCTGGAGTTGATGGCTTCCCAATAGAATTCTTTACAAAACATTGGCAGGAAATCAGACAGGATATATATGATGATGTGAAATTCTTCTTCCAAACAGGCAAGTAACCAGCATGGAACTGTACTGCTATAACCTTGATCCCAAAAGTGCCAGCTCCTACAACAGTGAAAGACTACAGACACATTGCTTGCTGCACTACTGTGTACAAAATTGTAGCAAAGATTCTGACTAAAAGAATTAAAAGGGTGATTGAATCCATAAATAGGGAAAGCACAGTCTGCTTTTATTGAAGGGAGAAGTATTATTGATAATATCCTATTTAGTCATGAACTCTTCAATGGCTATAATAGGAAAGGTTTGTCTCCTAGATGTGTGCTCAAAGTGGACCTAAGGAAAGCCTATGATTCCTTAGACTGGCAGTTCCTCAAATACATGCTTGCTGACCTTGACTTCCCCCAGAAATTCATTCTATGGATAATGGAATGTGTGACAACAGTGTCCTATTCCTTGGTACTAATTGGAGGATTGACCAAACCTTTCCCAGCTAAGAGAGGAATAAGACAAGGAGATCCAATATCCCATTACCTTTTTGTGATTGCCATGGAATATCTAGAAAGGGAGATGAAACAACGGGAAACTCAAGAGGAATTCAAGTTCCATCCAAAGTGCAAGAAGCTGGGAGCAACTCACATATGTTTTGCTGACGATTTGTTAATGTTTTGCAGGGGTGATGCTAACTCAATTACTAAAATTCAGGAGGCTTTCAATAAATTTTCAGCTGCTTCTGGATTGCAAACAAATGCAGAAAAAAGCTCAATATATTTTACTGGAGTGGCACAACACATAAAGGAACACTTGCTAGAACATACTGGATATACAGAAGGGTCCTTACCCTTTAAGTATCTGGGAGTGCCAATGTCGACAAGGAAGCTGAACATCCATCAATGTTTGCCACTGGTAGAAAGGATCACTGAAAGAGTAAGATGCTGGTCAGCTAGATTGCTTTCATACTCAGGAAGACTCCAGTTGATCAAGTCTGTGTTGTTTGGTATACAAACATATTGGGCTCAAATTTTCTTATTGCCAAAGAAGATCATGAAAATGATAGAAGCAATCTGTAGAACTTTTCTGTGGACTGGCTCAACAGAATGCTCAAGGAAAGCTTTGATTGCATGGGACAGACTATGTCAACCTAAAGCTGCAGGAGGTCTTAATATTATAAACATGGGACTATGGAATAAAGCAGCACTGATGAAGCACTTTTGGGCATTGGCTATGAAAAAGGATGTAATGTGGATCAAATGGGCCCATACTTATTATATAAAGAATAGGGATATTGTGGAAATGGAAGTACCCAAAGCAGCAGCTTGGGTGATTAGGAAAATTATTGAGGCAAGAGAGGATGTGAAGCAGATGAAACTGGGACAGCATATTACAGCCACATTGGAGACACTAACAAGACAGGGCAAATTTCAAATCCACAAAGCTTATGTTCAGATGCAGCCTACATTGCAAAAAGTTATGTGGAAAAGTCTCCATCTACACACACATGTTCATCCTAGATTCAAATTCCACCTGTGGCTGGCTATTCATCAAAGGTTAGCAACAGTGGACAGACTCATGACTTTTGGAATACAAGTTCCACTAGACTGTGTGTTCTGTTCAGCTAGCATGGAAGATTTTGATCACTTGTATTTTGGTTGTCCAAAAACAAATAGCTTATGGGACAGAATGTTGAGATGGCTTGGATTCACAAGGCAGATAGGAAGCTGGCAGAATGAGATACTGTGGATCAGCAATCAGTCAAGAAGCAAAAACTAGAAAGCAGAAGTAACTACAGCAACATTTTGCGATGGTTGTCTATTGCATTTGGCGCGAAAGGAATTCGATTAGATTCAACAAAGGCAGATACAATATAGATGAAGTATGCAAGGAAATGGCTATACACATACACATTCACGGGAGGAAAAAAGCAAAATGGCAAAAGAAATTGGAGAGCTTAAACAATTTTCCTTAGAATAGTATATATGACATAGTGTTAGTCGAAAGTACATGTAAATAGACATAGGAGATTAATGGTCAGCATTAATCTGGATGTGTAATGACAGTTTTTGATGAAATAAAATGTTAGTTTTATCAAAAAAAAAAAAAGAAGAGTCATAATAAAATAACAGCAATATAGGAATCAGTGGATACCTTTTTCTACACTATGAGGTAGCCAAAGATATTGAAAATATGTTTTCTTTAGATGTCTGCAACACCTTGGGTTATGTCTAGAAAGTTCTTGAGTGCACATCCATATGGAAAAGCTTCCCATTCAGAAAGGCAGTTAAAAAAAATTGGGAACTTTTGGGATAAAACCCCTTTATTTTGTTCACATTTAAAGTTAGTTTAGACAGATTGCACGTTTGGTACCTCAAATTGAGGGACTTTACAACAAGAGGGCAATTTGATAAAGGTATGACAGGGTTAATAATATAGATGCAAGACTCAAGAGGTAGCAACGATATCCTTACCCATATTAAACCACATTTTAAAAGGAGTTGAAAAGAAACACCAGTTAAAGACTTAAAAGGATGTGAATGACTGGAAAAAAGACTAGCTTAGCAGTTGAGCGTTGGGAAGAGAATGCATGATCAGCAAGGTGAACTATTTGGTATAGGAGGTAGAATTGACTATCTAGAATTCTTGCATTCTCTCCACTATTTTATGGTAGTTACATTTGATCTTCACAGCAATAAAGTGCTCAATCCCAAATTTCAAGAGTTGATAATTCACCATATTGTGAACAAAATTCCAACTTCACGGTAATTCATCAAAATAGCAAACAACCAGGAAAGTAAGAACTATTCACTAAACCTACAAACTTGTTAATATAACCTAAAAGGAAACACAAATATTCCTTCTTGACAGACCAGGGTCCGAATCCCGGCGAACACAAAAAAGACTCTAATTTCTTTCCATTTGCCAAAGCTTGATAGGCAAAGTTTCATGGGACCTGTGCTGGTGCAAGGACCTTGAACATGGTAGAATGGTCGGGGAGCGCGTATGTTAACAAAAAATCTTTTTCTATGCATATCAAAGTATCAATTGGTATACCTACCTACAGTGATGTCACAGCCACCAAAGAACTCCCCATCAATGTAGAGTTGTGGAAAGGTTGGCCAACTAGAATACTCCTTTAATCCTTGACGAAGTGCTTCATTTTCAAGGATATTTATTGTCTCAAAGGGTGCATTTAGCGATTTTAATATCTGAACCACTGTATTTGAGAATCCGCATTGTGGAAAGTCCTTGGTACCCTTCATGAACAGCACAATTTTTTGTGATGTGACAACCTTATCCAGCGTATCCTTCAAATTAGGATTCAGAGCTACAGGAGCATGAAGGTGCATCCAAACACATGTCAGCATTTCTTATTTCTTTGAAGCTGACAAATTGAAGAACACCGAGAACAAATAGACAAATTCCAAGCATAATAAGAGAGAAATAAGAAACATAAAATTATAGACAAAGGCTAAATGAGCAAAAGACTCCTTGTGTATCAGAAGTTTACGAGAAACAACTGGAGCAGCCAAAAGGTCGAAGATAACAGGTTTCTCTATGACACTTATTTGCAGGCATAAGTCGAAAAATTGTAAGTTTTATCTGTGCTTTACCAAAAACCATCAAGCAAGCATCTATTCCACCAAAGCCTGATTAATAGGATGTCATTCACCAAAGGCTTCTTTTTCAACAAGACCATCCTTAAGATCGCAACGCTTCTAAATAACCTAAAAAGCATGCCAATAAAGAGGACGTACAATATCCTAGAATAAGATCTTTTTTCATCTGAATCTTGCTTTACGAATTGCTGCTAGCAATCAAAGTCTTCCGTACTAAGTGCGGTTTTAGAACAAAGAGGATACTAACAACCTTATTGGTATTTAATGCACAAAACTTTAATCTTTCTCTCCACCTCTGAGACTAAGCTCCACACCTCGCTTGACTGGTAAGAGCTTAAATCGATTTGGCCAAGTATTTATACTCTGGGATCTCGATCTATGGATGGTTATAAAAATAAACCACTTTTTCACCAAGCTATTTACTTTTATTGCATGAATCATAAGGATTACATCATTAAACGGCTATTAGAATCTTATACACAAATTCACTCAACTGCACAGACTAATTACATTGCTTTAGAAGAAATGAACACAGAATCGAAATTTCTCCAAATTCAATTTCTTTTCCATCTCCAAATTAGATTTTGCTGAGAAATAAGCAGGATTAAGCACACAGAGTTAAAACCCTAATAAGTTATATGATTATAAGAAATTAAGAATCCGTTTACCAGATAGACAACGAATGGATCTTAATCGTCCGGCCCGGTTTCCGGTAGCAATTGAGCCAGTGGGAATGTTCGAGAACCGAAGAGCACGACCCAAAGGAGATGTGGGGAGCGCTAGAGAAACATCCGTCGAACGTGACTCAGCTGCCGAGGCTCTAATGCAGGGTGAAGTCCTGAAAATGGATGGAAGTTGCGATTGGAGCGTAATTGCAAGCGACATGGTTTACTGTATTAACTTTCTGTAAAGTCGTCTTTGATACGAACTCAAAATCGTGCCCCCAGAAACAGTGGAGTGATATTTATCCCCCAAGCAATCAACCAGTCAGGTGCTCCTAACCGTTGATTTACCACTATACAAGTGCTGTAAACAACAGAGTAGTAGTAAGTTTTAACTCGAGTAATACTACAAGAAGAAAAACATCAACATTAGTTATATGAATCTTCAACAACCATTTCGTTTTATCTGAATCCTTTTAGTGGCGTACTCAATATTCTTTTTGGTTTGTTCCAAAATAAATAACATATTTTTAAATTTAAAAATAAGTGAACTCTAAACTCTCATTTAAACCATCTTATCTTAATGATAAGCTTTTATAACTATGCAAATATCATGGCCCCACAAAGCTTTTACCCCTTAAGTTTTTAAGACCACAAGTTTCAAAAATTCTTTTTTTTTTCTTAAACTCCGTACCGAGTCAAACTAGCTCATCTAAATTGAAACGGATGGGGTATAAGTTAAAGGTTCCATAAAACTATAAGTTCCATTACTCTCACATTATTCTTGCACTGACATGTAATATCTAGCTAATTACTAACGGATCCTAATAGCCAAACATGGTTCTAATGTAAGTGTGCAAATAACGACTAAATTCTCCATCTCAACTAATTGGGATTGCTTATATGACGATTGTTTATATTGAGTCAGATTCTTCCTTAACTCGTATGGATTCTAAATGACTGCAAGTTTTTTTGAGACAATTTTCCTCCATATGGTTTTAGATTTATATTTTTTCCTTGTAACACTCTTTAATCATTATGATTATCGCACGTTGTTTACCTTAGAATTGGATAACAATTAAAGTTATAATATAGTTTTAAGGACACGTGATTTCACCTAATACCAATCGGTAAATGTAAAGATCAGTAATAGAAATTAACAATAAAATAAGGCAAACCAGTGTTTGAACGGTGTTCAGCCCTCGAGTTGAATACCCTCGAACTAATCGATGCAAGAACAGTTAAAGTATAACAATCTGATGAACAAGAATAATATAAGCTAGAAAGTATTGTATTGCTTTGAGATGCGTGAATGTAAGGTGGTTACAAAATGATTAGGACCCTCTTTATATAGTAGAAGAATCATATCTATGGTACAATTTTAATTACGGAAGTAAATCCCGTGATTAGCTAATTAACCGCTTTTGATTTAATCTGTTCCGAGATTTTCGCCGCCATCTTTGACCGGTTACGAATATCCGCTTTTTCGTTATTGCGCTTCGCTCGAAGTCTACCATATTTGGTCTCGATCGTTACTGGCTTCGACCCCGACAGGCACCTCGATCCCCGAACCAGATATCTTGCCTTCGTGCTCTGGTCTGATGCACTGTGAGGCTAGCCCTCGATGCAATTCCCTGGCCTCGAATAGTAAAATCGGGTAGGCCGGTTTTTGCCGTATAGAGATAGTCCCCTCGTTTCTTGGAGTGTAATGAGAAGAAACAAACTGAGCAATCGATTTTATACCTTGACTGGTCATGAAGTCATCCTCGTGACGCAAGCGGCGGAAGTAACTGAAACGTCCTGTCGGTTCATATCGAGGCATTAAAAGACTGTCAGTTGCGGTCGGTCATTATTGATTCTGAACTGTCACCTTCATCCTATAAATGTGCTTTCCTTCTCTTTGCCCAAACTTTACTCTTGATCTCTACTCTAAGCTTCACAACTCTTTACATCTCTTAAGCTTTTCTGCTCTGCACAATTTCTAGGTTTCGTTATCAACCTTCCCTCAAAACACCAAGCCTTATCCTCATCTTCTTCCTCTAAACATACACAAAAATAATGAAAACGTCAAAAACTGTTCCTCAAAAGGAAAATGCCTCTTCACCGCAGTCAGCCTGCAACAAAACACCGGTGGAGCCGCGCCCTGAGGAGTGCGTCCCCGAGAAGGGGTGTGTCCTTGATTGCGACTTCAAAGTCGAGAAGACGTCGTCGGTCCCTGGCGGTGAGAGCCTATGCCGAGATATATATGCTCGATAACTAAGAGTGACCTTGAGCAGGTAAAGAAAGACAGCCATTGAGAAAACAAGGAGGTGGTGATTCCGGCCCCCGAAGAAGACATCACTACCCATGTGGAAGGGTTTCTAAGTGTTTACACTTACCCTTTCACGCTAGGCCCTGTCGATCCCGTCATTATCGACTTTTGCCGCCAATATCAAATAACCCTCGGTCAGATCCACCCTTCTTTTTGGCGGATTGTCATTCTGCTCTGGTTTTTCGCGAACAAAGCCGAAGGGATGCCTTTCGCCCTCGACCACCTCATTAGATTGTACAGCCCTCATCTCTTTCGAGGCGGGTTAATAAAACTCCAACGTCGGGCCACCAAGGTGCTATTCTCAAGTATAGATGAGGTCAAGGATCGAGGGCGGATGGGAAGGTTCGTTTGAGTGAAGACTCCCGACCTAATCCCGTCCAAGAAGATGCCATTTCCCGAGGAATGGAATATGAAGCGTAAGTACAATCCGACCTTCAGCTTCCATTTATTGTTTTGTTTTCTTTGCTTCTCCTTATCGACATTCCTTTCTATGATGTAGTGGTCGCTTGGCTGCCTGGTGCAATTCCTAACCTCGAGAGCTGGGTTCGGAAACTGGCTTCGACCTCCTCGTACGTTGAGCGCTCATGGCGCGATTTGGCAAAGGGCCGATGGGAGGCCAAAAATCATGGTAAGCCCTTTTTCACATACTCGATGATTTTTGCTAAAACCTTTCTTTTCATACTCAATTGATTTCCTTTCATATAGGCCTCGGAAAAGATGCTGTCATGAAGCCACCATCTGGGGAGGAGAAGGTTTCGCCCCCGGCCCCGAAGCCGGCGAAGGATAAAAAGAGAAAGAGGGTCTCGACCTCCGAGACTCCAAAGCCCAAAAAGGGTAAGGCTCGTAAGTCGAAGAAAGACACCACCATCCTGCCTGCAGATGTAGTTCAGCGACTACGAGATGAAGAAGAGAAAAATAAAGATGCTGACTTCGAGTTGGTGGCCCGAACAAAGAGGAGACCCGAGGCCACAAAGGCTGCTGAGCCGGTGGGGGTCGAAGAGATTCAACCTCAAACCGATGAGGCCTCGAGGAAGGCCCAAGCAAAGTCCCCAAGTCGTCATAGGCTGAAGATGCTTCATGCTGAAATGAGAAATCGATGGGTGTGCCTAAAGGGGCTTGCTCCGAGGCCCTTCAAAGTGAAGAGAACGCCCCATGTGACTTTCTTGGGGCAATAGATATTGGCGATTTTCCGCCCCTCCCTACATTTTCTAAGGGGAAAATTCAGGAAGCCCAGGCCATGAGGACCCCCGATGTGGAAAGAGCCCACGAAAGGGAGGATCTTTTCCGTGGTTGCTTTGCGGGAGTCGAAGATGCTACCGACCTGAGTGAGGCATTGATACTCTTTGATGAGGCTCAACGACTTCTGAGCCGGGTAAGTTTCAGCTCCCCTCATCGATATCACACTTGTATTTATTTCTTCTTGACTAATTTCTTTTCTTTCTACATAGGCCTTGACATCGGGATGCGTTTAATGGTCCCGGGCAGAGCTGAGCCGATGCGAGGCCGATCTTCAAAAGCTCACGGAGGAGAGAAATGCCCTCAAACTTCTCAGTGGGTAAAAGGAAGAGAAGATAAAGGACCTCCGAGCTAAATTGGCCACAACTCATAAAGAGCAGACCGACCTGATTGAGCAGGTAATAAAAACTTTTAGAAGCTTGATATATCAATTCGGGAACGACGATTAATACTTCGATCTGGCAGGTTCGGCAGAAGGTCGAAAAGATCGAACAGCTCTGTGAGGAGGCCAACATGATAAGGGCGGAGACTTTGGGATGGAAACAAAACATGGACCACCTTGCCTCGGAGAAAGATGCTAATCGAGCCAACTGTCAACGGCCGAACGTTAGCTCTAAAGCATGAAGGAGGAAAGCTTTGCCCGAGCAAAGAAAATTGAGGAGCTCGAGGCTCGGTTAGTCGCCGAACTTGCAAAGGCTACATCTGAGGCAGAAGAAGTAAAGGCTGACGCGGAGGCGATCTTGGTCGTCTATCTAGCTGATGCTGAAGTTGCTCAAGCCCGAGAAAAGGAAGTTGCTGATACCACTCAGACTCGAGCATATTGGGCTATCGAGCATGCCAAGTACCAGCCTCGAAGAGAGACTCTTGAGGAGATTCATGCTCGTGGCTTTAACCTTGTTGTCGAAATCAACAACGCGAAAGAACTTGAGCTCGAAGCCAAAGTGTTGCTCTCTTCCGATGATGATGATCCCGGTAGCATGAGTGGATCCGAGAGCGGAGGGGATTCCGATGGCGAAGGTGCACTACAACAAAACTGATATTTTGCTACGAAATTATTAGCTATGACATAAAATTCGTCACTAATAGTTTACTTTTCGTGACAAAAATTACATTTCGTCTTTTAATACATAAGCCACATACTTTTAGTGACGAAACACAATATTTTGTAGCAAAGTTTTGTCCACTAAATTTTCCCACCAAAAATTAAGTTGGCGCCAATTATTAAATAATATTAGCCACGAATTTAAAATTATCAGTGACACATTATTTTGTCACTAATAATGTACCCAATTAGGGACGAAGCATTATTTGTCTTAAAAATAATTAAATTTTGGATACGAAAAAGTTTCGTCACAAAAGATATGTTATTACAATAGTGACGAATTAGAATTTGTAGCTAAACAAGGTAAACTTTAGCCACAAAATTTTATATTTATTTTTGACCTTAATTTTTGTCGCTGATACTGCAAATAATTAGTGACAATTATTTAACTGTCTCTATTGAACATACAATTTAGTCACAAAAAAATTTTGTCACAAAATATACCATTTTTAATTTGCTACGACTTTTGTAGTTGAATTGTGAGATTATTAGCTACGAAATTATTTTTTAGTAAAAACTAAAAGATCGTACTTTGTAGATAACTATAATTCTAAAGGTTTGTTCATGCAACATACATATAATTACTTTAAGACTACTTGAAATTGAAATTAAAATAATCATCTTTGACAATTATCAAGTTCGAGAAATTAGAACTCCATTTTTACTTATGTTAGAAATTTTAGAAGTATTTTTCGTTCTAGCACAATTCAATTTCTTGTTGGGATGTATCATGTATATTTAATTTCAAGTAGGACATGGATCATTCAAATTGATTCTTAGTAAACAATTTATGCCGTGAATTTGCCTTAAGTTTCAAATTAATGTACCTTTCTTTTATTTTGTCTTACTAAACTTGCAACATGATTGTTGTTTGTTTGATTAGAAGGAACACAATTTTTATTCTAGAAAATTGCACATTATATATCAATTTAAAATATATGCCTGCAATATAATATTGCATCAAATTGTATTTCTAATTAATATGTTCTTTTTATATCTTATTAAAAACATCCTACGGACTTACTCGTGCGATCAAATCGCCAAAATTACATTTTTAATAAAGAACTTAGCATCGAAATCTAAGAAAAATTTCAAGAACTCTTAAGTTCAAATTTTCATAACCGAGGGTCCGATTCACGTCATATGAAGTCCGTTTTTAACCAAATTTTACAGGCACAACTTAAATACCATATTAGACCTGTACCGGGATCCGAAACCAAAATACAGGCCCGATACCATCAAATTCAAACATCTTTAAATTCCCAAAAACTCTTATAATTTCAGTTAAACAATTTTCTTCAAAAATTCATTTCTTGGGCTTGGGACCTCGGAATTCAATTCCGGGCATACGCTCAAATCCCATATTTTTCTACGGACCCTCCGGGAACGGTTAAATAACTGGTCCGGATCCGTTTACCTAAAATGTTGAACGAAGCCAACTTAAATTCAATTTTAAAGGCAAAATTAGCATTTTTATTTAATTTTCACATAAAAGCGTTCCGGGTATACGCTCGGACCGCACACGCAAGTCGAGGTAAGACAAAAGGAGGTTTTAAGGTCTCAAAATACAGAATGAACTTTTAAAACAAGTGATGACCTTTTGGGTCATCACAATTTCTAGAAGACCGAAAAATCTTTTAATTTTCAAATTCTGATATAAGTCTTTTTTTTAATCACAAATAAGACATCTGAAAACTTTTGCGGTATATGATATCTTTATTTATTGAGCTAGATAATGGAAACAACATTTATTATGTTCAAAAAGTTTTGTTTAACTTTTATTTTATAATTATATTTTTTTTAACTTTTTTTTTGGTAATTAATTTTTATTACCGGGAAAAATATTTACAAATATAACACAAAAAAACTCTATCACTATCTACCTAGATTTGGACATGCAGCCCCAAACCTAGCATAAATATGAATTATAAATATGAAATCAAGACTTTAAAGTATATTTTTTTTAAATAATTAAAATTACTTTAATTTATTTAAATTAAATCAATTAAAAAAATTTATATTTTTACTATAACAATTATAAAATCGACAATATTTTTTAATCAACAACCATAGTACTGGTCATTATAAATGGAAATAATTTGATTTAACTGTTGGCAAACATAATAAAATTTTAATTAGTAGTTTTTGTTTGTCAGCTAAAAATTGATCTTATGGTATTTTGGTAACATAAAAAATTTAGAGTGAAAATAAATTGACAACAATTGAAGAGCGGCAAGTTGTATTTTGGTATTTTCGGTTTTATTCTATTTCAAAGTTGTATGAAAAAAGAAGCGGCAATGTTCCCTCCTTTTCTTTTTTGTGTTCTCAAGTCCCTCTTTTTAGTTGAGTAGTGCCGCCTCCCATTTCTCAATTCTCCTCCATTTCTCTCTTAATTCTTTGTGACATTCATTTCTCCATCAAATTATTGCAACAGTTAGATCTACTATATTGCTTCCATTAATATCTTATTTCTTTCTCTTTCGCACACATAGATCCTCTTATTCAATAATGCTTAATTTTCTCCGAAATCTTTTATTGATTTAATAGCATAAATGATCAAATCTGCGTGATGGGCATTTTAAGACGCAAAGCCGCTTCTGGCGCCTCCTTTGCTTTGATACAAATCCTCAAGCTAAGTTAAGAAATATTATTTCTACTTCAATTTTTTTTCTGTTGCGTCTCTCATACGGAATTCTTTTTCTTTCAATTGTAGGGCAATTAAAATTTGGGTTCTCCAGATGATATATTACGTGTATGTATTTGTGGGTTCTTATTGATTTAATTCTATTGTAGAGGTATGAAGAAATTTGTCTATTATTCTTTATTTTTTGAGAGATTAAGTACTCTTAATTTTATATCTCTTCTTCTTAATTCTTGTGGTTATTTGCAGTCAAAGAAAAATTAATATTTATTGTCTAACTTCGAGTAAGCATCTTTCTACCAGTACTAATTTGTCATTCTATTATTTGCTTCACTAATTAAAATATGATATGTCATTTTTTGGCTAAATCTTGTTCATCAAAAAGTATGTACTAAAATTGTTTTTTTCTTCAACAGGTACATGAAAGTGTAAATTTATTCAAGAGCAACTTTACCAGACAAGTGGTTACATTAGCGTTTGAGGAAGCAGTTACTAAAATTATTTGTATTTCGATTCGACCTCATGTTGTTGAATAAATTTTATTTTGTTTCGGTGTTTTAGTTGACGGAGTTTGTAATGAATATTATCTCAATGTAGTATTAGTTCTTAATTATGTGATCGTCGGTGAAAATTTTTGTTGTTACCTTCCATTTTTACTATATTATTTCCATTTAGTAAATGATAAATTCTGGAATTAATGGGAAATTAGATAAATACTACTTATAAATAGTAGCACTGCGGATTTTAATGTCATCAAATATTCATCAAATTTTAGTGACAAAAATATTATTTGTCCGAGAATCATCTTTTTAGTAATTTGTATTTTATGATTATTTTAATTTTAAATAATTTTGTAAAAAAAATATTATTTTTAGTGACGACATAATAGTTTTCAACTACAAATTGTAAATTATTCTTGTAAAAGCAAAGATGTCACTATTTTATATATTTAGGGACGAAATATCTTTTGTACATAAAAGGTAGTCTTTAATGACAAAATAACATCGATTGAACTACGAAATATACATAACTTTAGAGACATTTGATAACGTCACTAATTAAACTAAATAGTTATCGACAAGGTAGTTTCGTCGGCATTGATAATCTTTTTAGTGACAAAAGCACGCTATTAACGACGAAAATTTTATACTTTTTCTGACGAACAAGTTCGTCACAAATACTAGGCAATTGGGAACGAAAAAAATTTTCGTCCCTAATATAACTTGATTTAGTGACGAACCACCAAATTGTCTTTGTATACTTTTGGTGACGGTGTTTTTGAAACGAAAAATTGACGAATTATTTTTTGTCTTAAAAGATTTTTTGTGACGAAATATGACTTTTAAATGACAAAATAGTTCGTCATTGATAATCAAATTTGTTGTAGTGGTGTGGCTCCCGAGGAAAATTAGGCACTTAGAATTTTTCCTTTCTTTTTTTGAATTTTTTGTGTAGGATCCTGACAAAGGTTGTCCAACGGGACGGGCCGTCCCGTCCCGTCCCGTCCCACTTAATTCTAAACAGGATGGGCCCATGTCAAACGGGACACGGGATAGGGTGGGATGGCCATTTTGTCTCGTTTATCCCGTCCCGTCCCGCGTCCTTTTAAAAACAAATTTGAATTATAGCCGTTGGGTAATGGCTTCAATTGAAAATATAGTCGTTTTTAACGTCCAAAGAGGTCATATTTGGCCCCTACCCTACCCCCCAACTTTTGATATAACCCCTAAGTTTACTAATTATACTTTGGCCCTATTTTTTACTATAAATACCTCCCATCCTTCTTTAGTTTTTCCCACAAATATCAATCATTCTCTCTCAAATCTCTTACATTCTATCTATATTATTCTCTCAATTTTCTCACAATCAAGTGATAAGTTTCAAGTGTTTGGGCAAATTTTTGGAGAAACTTTCAAGCTTCAAATTAATTCGTCAAGTATTTGGAACAATATTTTGGGCAATTTCTTCAAGTTTTAATTCACGGTGCACTCGTTCCATCTCCTAATTTTAATATATAATTTTTGTGTATGATTTTAGTGCTTAATTTTTGTGTTTACTTTACGTTTTCTATTTTCGTATTTTATTTGTGTGTTTAATTTTCGTGTTAATTTTTTAATTTAATTTCGTATTTAAATTATGGCACCTAAAAAAGTATTTGGCTTATTTAAAAAAATAGTAAAAAAATAGTAAAGGTGAAAGTAGTAGTAATCCTAACCCTAGTCCTAATTCTAACCCTTCTCCTAGAATTAGAAAACATATAGATGAAATGACTCATGTTGATAAAACTTTATTTTCCCAACATGTTATAATATTAATTTCGGAGAGCAACTAGATCATGAAACTTTACAAAGACAATTTGGCAATGATATTTTTATTGAGGATGAAGAAAATGAGGATGAAGAAAATGATGAAACACCCACTAGTCCCGCAACACAAGCTCCAACTCAGAGTCAATCTTGGTTTGGAGGTTTACCCCATGTACCTCCTGTAAGGGGGTAAGCCTAAGGGTGAACGTCCCAAAAGTGTAAGATTAAGGGTATTCCAACACTTTCAATAATAGCCCGAGATATCTGATATTCAAGCATCATCAATAGCATCGGAGAGTGCTTTTAGCGTGGCAAGATTTCAAATCGGAGATCATAGACATTCATTAGCGGAGGACAGCCTAGAGATTTCCGTATTATTCAGAGATTGGATTAATTCAGAAAGAAGAAATCTTGGTTTTGAAAAATTAACCACTAGGGAAGAAGAAGAAGAAGAAGAAGAAGAAGAAGAAGAAGAATACAATGAGATACTTAGCACTGGGAGCGATGACGGTATGGAGCTCATGGAACATCAGTCAACATTGCCAATTCCAGAACAATGTCGGAGAGAAATAATAGATAAGTTACAACGAATCTATATAGGAGCTTACAAATATTAGTATGATAATTTGTAATTGGCTACTAAGAGGCGTAGTTCAAACAGAACCAGGTGGTTGTGTAGATTAGGTGTTCTTCAAAAGAATTATATTTGTATGTGAGACTTGAAAGTTTTATTAAAAAAATAAAAGGCTCTAAGTGTTGAATTTCTTTTATGAATTGTCTTACACTTTTACTTAGTTACTTACTGGCTTGAAATTATATTAAATAAATTACCACTCTATTATAATTACTAGAATATTTCATTACAAGTCTTTTGTTTTAATATTTTATAATTCTTTACTTAGTTTCCTAATTTCCGTTTTAATATTTAAGTTTATTAAATAAGTCAAAAACTAGCCGTTGCAAACTTTAAAAACTTAGTCATTGTCAAAAAACTAGTCGTTGCCAAACTTAATGCTTAAATAATTTTTTTTTTAAAACAGCCCACTTAAGGCCCGCTATCCCGTCCCATGCCGTTTGTTAGCGGGATGGGATGGGCCTACCGTTTCATCCCGTTTATCCCATCTCATTTCGTCCCGTTTATCCCGTCTCGTTTCGTCCCGTCCCGCCACCATCCCGGCTAAATATCGTCCCGTCCCGTTAATTTTGTCTCATCCCATCCCGTTGGACAGCCATAATCCTGACCGATCCATGTAAATATTTCATATATAAAAGATCTCTTTTCTCTTCGACTTCAATTTCCGCCTCGTACTAATTCTGCTTCGACCATGTCTTGAAAATTTTCATAAGTATGAGACTTGGGCAATTTGATCGAAGTCGGACTAGTATAGTCTTTATAATCGAGCAAGTATTTACTCGAACTCGAAGTAGGATGACCCTTAAGTTTTAGTTGAAATAGGATGACTTCTCGAACTCAAAAATAAAAAGGCCCCTAGGCTCTTGAATTAGGCCAATATGGCCTTAAAAGAATGGCTTTTTCCCCTTTTTGGCTTAAAAGAGTTAATCATATAACAATTTTTTATGCATTAGAATAAGATTGTTTTGAGAGTTTGAACAATCTGGTATCCCTTTGGGGTTTTCGAGGGTTGATATTATCGAAACCCTATATAATTTTGCCGAGGGTAGCCCTTTTAACCGGTTTTGTGAAGATATTAGAAGGCCTATTTTTGTTACAGAATTCGGACGTCTCCGAGCCGTGTTAGTTTGGTCGTAGCCTTTAACTTGGGGTTTGCCTCTTGGGCTTATTTCCCGATTACGCTTCAAACTTGTTAGAAGTATCAGTCCCTAAGTGGGGTGGCCATGGCCTATAAAACAAGTGTTGACTTTTTAAGGTCTTATGATCTCGAGATTTTAATAGTTTGATTACATCGATTTTTCGGACGGTAGTCCCCGAGTACGGGGTAAGTTGTTTGAACTTTGTAATCGGCTCTTAAGCATGTTTCCACAATAGATCAAATGTATGAATTGTAAAGCAAAAACTATTTTAAGGCAAGAAATATTTGGCAAGGACAAATACTTTTCTCAATAGATGCGTACATGTTTGCTTTTAGGGATCGAGTAATCTAAATGGGCACGGTTCGTTTGACCATTTGGCCCTTATAAAGTTTTACCTGTCGAGACCCTATTGGCACGAAGTATCTCCGTTGTGACAAAGTTGACATCCAAGGGTGATGCCCCCCAGTATTCGAGGTTGATTGTAAAGAATCCTCGGATACTGTTGAATTTCTCTAAGTTAGCACGAACAATGGTTGCCTCATTAGAAACCTCGCCGGAAAAACCCATTTGGGATAAAAACTGGTCTAAGGAAAAAAAGTGCAACGCGTGCTTTCAGACCTAAGGACTTTGTGCTGAAGGATTCTTCGATATCTTCCGTTGAACACCTGCAATTGGTTAGTATAAAATGTAAATGGAAATAGAGAAGACCATACCTTTGCAGTAGTATTGTTTGAGAAGTGATATGTTCCAATTGTTTGGTAATTTCTCGTCATCCATCGTGGCAAGTTTGTAGGATCCTTTTCGACGATATCGAGGACCTGATATGGTCCTTCCCAGTTCGGGCCAAGTTTCCTTCATTTGGGTCTCGAGTATTGATGGTGACTTTTCTTAGGACTAAGTCCCCTGTTTTAAAGTGTCGAAGATTGGTTCTTCGACTGTAATACCTCTCGATTCGCTATTTCTGTGCAGCCATTTGAACGAGGGCGACTTCAAAATGATGCCTAGCCCGGACCCCTTCACGTTCGAAGCGCCGTCTGTGAAGAGGGTCCACGCCCCCGATGACATACCCGATTTTAATAATAGTTCCTTTTCGACCTCGGGTAAGAGGGATGGCGTAAAGTCGGCCACGAAGTCTGCCAAGATTTGAGACTTGATGGCCATTCGGGGTTGATACTCGATATCGTACCCACTAATCTCGACGACCCATTTGGTCAATCGTCCCGAGAGCTCGGGCTTGTGCAAAATGTTGCGAAGGGGGTAAGTGGTGACAACACAAATTGGGTGACATTAAAAATATGACTTTAATTTCCTTGAGGCGCTTATTAAAGCAAGCGCTAATTTTTCTAAGTGTGGGTATCAGGTCTCGGCTTCACCTAGGGTCCGACTAACATAATAAACAGGAAATTATGTACCTTGCTCTTCTCGAACTAAGACCCCACTTACCGGTATCTTCGAGATCGCTAAGTATAGGTAAAGTTGCTCGTCCGCCTTTGGGGTGTGAAGCAATGGCGGGCTCGACAGGTAATGTTTGAGTTCCTCCAAAGCCTGTTGGCATTCCGAGGTC